GTCTACCTCATGTGGCTAACAGTCCTACAAGCCTTCCACACTTTCAGACTTAACCTCAGTGTCTTTTAACTGTGGCCCAAGGTACAGATGTAGAATGGAAAACACACGAGTGACTTTCTGGTGCCATCCAAAGAGGGCATTAACCTGTGGGCTAGAAAGGGTTTCTGGGGCATCTACATTAGGGATATAGTCCTTGCTTACCAATCACACCTCGGGCAAATGATTTGATGAGACTCAGTTTTATGATCCTCAAAAGAGGCTAATAATAAGTACATATGTCACAGAACCATTGTCAGGATTAAATGAATTAGTTGGTGTAGAGTGATGAAATGTCTCGCCACAGTAGGTGCTCAAAAACATTACTTTGACATTAACATTAGCACATTGATAGCTTTAATAACGGTGTTAACTGTTGCTATTACTATGAGTTCTGCCCACTTCCCTTCCTGTGGCCAGGAGGTTTTTTTCTCTAACGGACCAAGATCAGTAACAAAGCCATTTGGAATCACTTTGGTAAATGCTATGAAATCACCGTCAAGGGTACTACCCCACAGGAGGTTCCTCGTCATCAATGTCTTTCAGAACACATTATCAGGAGACACTGTCTCCCTCAAGGGGCTATGGGAATGGTGTAGTCTATCCTCCTTCCCTTATGATCCCAGCTTTTCAGAAATATCAGAACTGGATCTGATGTCCACTCATAGGCCTACGTGCTTGTCCTGATTCCACGGCCCTGATTTTCTGTTTCTATTCTCCCAACTCAATGGTTCTCAAGCACGGTGGTGCGCTCTCCACTGCCCATGGGCCACGTGGCAATTTCTAGATATTGTCCCTACAGGTTAGCTGTGTGAGACTGGCATCTAATTAATAGAAATCAGAGCTGCTGCTGCTAAACATCCTCCAGTGCCACAGGATGCCATGCATTCCTCAGCCTCCCCACCCCCCCCAAAATATAATTGCTCTGGTCCCAAAACATCCATCGTGCTGAGGATGGATCTACCTTGAACTTGACTACTAGTAGCTCATCTGTGGGGAGCACTGGGGGCCCTATCTGGAAAGATGATATGTGATTACCCTCGATAAACAGAATAGTGAGAAGGAACAAATGGAAAATGAATGGCATTTCATGTAGAAACTACACCAAAGCCAGTCACTCTCACCCTGAAGAGCCGGGCTCCCAATGGCTAGTCTCAGACACATGAAATAGTACCTTGAGGAGTCTGAACGCCGTCATCCAGCAGGTTTTGCTTTGCTCGTCTTCTGCACAGAGCAACCTCAGCTCTTTAGTTTCGCTCCTTACTTTGTTTGGCTAGAGGAGGCAAAAAGACATTCCATTGGTGCAACACAGGTAATAGGTCATCAAAAATACGCACCTCATGTTGGTGCAAGGCAGAATCGCAAAAGCTAGTGACTACCATGCGCCTCGGCACAGTGAAGAGCTTGGGTGCGCTCTTGTGCACTCATTCATGAACAAGTCTCTATCTCACATCCCCTCATGCGGGAACTCTGGGCTGTTCAGGGTCACTTAGAACTTCGAAGAGAATATGCTCCTTCCAACTGAGGAGCTCAGGGACTTGGAGAATGGACAGGTAAGAAAGCATCTGCCACAAGAAACTGTGGTGCGTACCACAGAAACACAGAGAAATCCAGATCAAAGTGGGTACCATTAGAGGAGACTGCCTCCTGAGAAATATATGTGTGTGTGTACACACACACACACACACACACACACTCTCTCTCTCTCTCTCTATTCCTCAAATGCTCATAGCAGGAATTAGAGCAGCCAGAGAGGCAGATCCTGCAGGAGAAGCCAGGAAGGAAGATTTCTCTGGGGTCCCAAAGGCTAGAAATGTCCAGGGGAAAAAGAGGAGAGAAAGAGTGAGAGAGTGTGAGGGGGAGGGGACGAGAGAGAAAGAAAGGGAAGGAGACAGAGAGCGCACACGAGTGTGTGAGCAAGTGAGCACACCGCAAGTGTGTAGCTCTTAGACCCCCCAGGTGGAACCCTCCTGGAATCAATTCAATGGCAGTGCGTCTGTCAGTTTGCTGCACGCTGGTGGCTTGTGTGGTGCTGTGATGCTGAAAGTGATGTCACCAGTATTTCAAATGCCAGCAGGGTCGTGCAAAGGAGCGGAGCTTCCAGACTAAGAACAGACTATGAAGAAGTAACGGCTGTCCACTTTGGAGGAGTTAGCCACTGCAAACCTTATAGACAGCATCAACATTTTGTCCGACACTGAAAACCTCAGCAGAACATTGTCAGGGATGGTGCTAGCAGATAAGCCTGTCAGGTCAGAAGACATTCAAAAGATGATTGAAGAACTGCCTTCTCAGAAGTCGAGTTGACCACGATGACGTGAATGGAGCAAGGGCTTCAGGAGTACAGCCTTTGGGACGTTCATTCGTTGATGGGGCATGCCTTGACATGAGAAGAAATAAGTGCAAACATCCACGCAGTGGCTGTAACAACGGGCGCAGACATAAGAACCACTGGGAAGACGGCACAGGACCGAGCAGTATCTTGCTCTGCTGTGCACACACTCGCTAGGAGTTGGCAGTGCCTCCACAGGATCGCTCAAGGATGGGTTAGCCTCTTCCCCCTAGACTCTGGGGCTAAAAGATCTGGTTCCAAAGTTAGCACACACAGACTGAAGTCCAAGTGTAAGTACTCACTGGCTTCCTGACCTGCATGTTGTTCTTCGGTGCCGTCGAGTTGGGTCTCTTGGCAACCCCCTGTATGACACAAGGACACACTGCCCAGTCTTGGACCGTCCTTACCATCATTATGTTTGAGCCTATTGCTGCAGCCACCACGTCAATCCAGCTCCTTGATGATCTTTCTTTTACGATGACCACCCATGATGTCCTTTCCAGAGACTGTGTTTTCTTGATAACCGGTTTAAAGTACATGAGACGGTGTCTTGCCATAGGTGCTTCAAGGCACATCCTAACTTTACTTCTTTGGACACACATTTACTTGCACTTCTGGAAATCTGTGGTACTTTCAATATGCAGGGTCAACATGTTAATTCTTTCGTCTTATTTATTCACTGTCCAACTTTACCATGGTTTTGAGGAGAATGGTAATACAATGGTTTGGGTCGGGTGTGCCTTAGATTGCCAAGAGACGGCTGCACTCTTCAATACTTTAAAGAGGTCTGTGCAGCAGATTTGCCCAATGCAGTACAGTGTTGATTTCTTGACTGCTCTTTCTATGATCACTGATCGTGGAGCCCAGCAAAGTGAAATTCTTGGCAACTTCCATCTTTTCTCCATTTATCAGACTGTCTCCTGGTCCAGCTGTGAGGATTCTGGCTGTCTTTACATTGAATTGTAATCCGTACTAAAAGGTCCAGTTCCTCATCTTCCTCAGAAAATCATTCAACAAGCAAGGTTGTGTCCTCTGTGAATGGCCTTCCTCCACTCCTGAGACCGAGCTCTTCGTCAAACAGCCCAGTGTCTCGGATTACGTGCTCAGCATACAGACTGAAGACGTGTGAAAAAAACTGAACCCTGACACCCACCTTTTCTGGCTGTCAACAATGCAGTAGTCCCAGATTCTGTTCAACCATAACGAAGTGTTCTGGAATTCCCATTCTTCTTAATGGTGTCCATTGTGTGGTCTGATCCACATAGTCAAAAATCCTATGCATTGTCAATAAAACCCAAACCAACACCTTACTGGTGTTTCGTACTTTCGGTCTAGAGCCATATCATCACTGACTTTTCTGGTGTCACAGCCTCTGCTGAATCCAGTTTGAATTCCTGGCAGCTCCCTGCTGAGATACTGCTGCAAACATTGATGAATGTGATATTCCAGGTATTTTATGTTAATTCCGCCAATTGTCTGTTGGTTGACGGTACAGTCTAAGGTGGTAGCTTGCACATCGATGCGAAGCTATACCACTGGTATGTCAAATAGCAGCCACAGTGGAAACGTTTCAGCGAAGCTTCCTGAGAGCCGGTGCATTTCTGAAGGACCCGGCACTGTGAACCACAGGAAAAGCACCCTGGTAGCCCTCGGAGACAGAGGGCAGGCAGACGAGTTCCTCAGGTAGGAAAACACCCAAAAAGGCTGGGGAGATGTTGCCGCCTCAAAGCAGAGCTAACCGTAATGGTGTGGATAGAAGAAGGCTTACGGGAACTTTATTTACTGATGGGACGGGACTCAGAATGAGAAGGAACAGCTGCAAATATCCATTAGTCATCAGAACATGGAATGTGTGGGCAAAATCAAGGAAAATCGGAATGGAAATGGAATGCGTGAATATCAATAGCTGAAGCCTCGAGTGAGCTGAAATGAAGTGTGCGGGGCCATTTTGACAGTCATGCAGTTTACTATGCTGGGCTGACACACTCATCACCAAACAGAGCATTTCATTATCTGTCCCGAAGGACCATGCTGTGGTGATAGGGCAATATCTATGTAAGGAAGTCCAATGAATACAACTATTGTTCAAATGTATGCACCAACTGCTAATGGCAAAGACGAATTCAGGAATTTCACCAATTCTTTCCATCTGACATTGATCAAACACCCAATCCAGATGCAATGACAATTACAGCACCTGACGTGGAAGACTTCAGAACAAAGAGGAAGGGGCAGAAACGGAAAACATGGTCTTGGTGACAGAAACAAAACTGGAGATCGCTTGGTAGAATTCTGCAAGACCAACTATTTTTCTTTGCAAATACTCATCCTCAACAACGTAAACGGTGACTCTACACTTTGAACTTGCCAGACAAACTACACAGGAAGCAAACTGACTATGACGGAGAAGGTCAAAGTAGGTGCCCAAAGGAGGGTAGGGCCTGACTGTGGAACAAACCATGCATGGCTCATATGGAAGTTTAGGTTGATGTTGAAGAAAATTAAATCAAGTGCACAAAGGTCAACATTTGAACTTGGGTCTATCCCACCTGGACTTAGGAAACATCTCAAGGATGGATTTGGGGTACTGAACACTAATGACAGAAGGCCAGAGGAGCTGGGTGGGATCGTGCCTGAAGAAAGCAAAAGGTCTACGAGCTGTAAGAGCCCCCGATAAGATGATTTAAAAAAAAGATAAAGAAAAAGGTCATTCAAAGGATAGGACAGAAAGAAAAGACCAAAGTGCATGACAAACCTGGAGTTAGAAGCGCCCCCCCTGCCCCCCCAAAGAGAACGAACACGCTCAGCATGTCTCCAGCTGAACCAAGTGAAGACACAATTCAAGCCTCGAACTTCCAAAGGGTTCTACAGGCAAAATAACTGAAGACGCAGGAGGCATCCAAAGAAGACGGAAGCGATACACCAACTCCCTGAAACAAAAAGAAGGACACTCCCACGTCCGAGGTAGCATGTGCTCAAGAGGCAATGATCCTGAAGGAAGAAGTCCAAGCCACACTGAAGACATCAGTGGGAAACAAGGCTCCGGGCAGTGACAGAATCCAAATGGAAAGGTTTTAAAAAGCTGATGAAGCACAGGCAGAGTGTGCTTGTCTGCACCAAGGCATTTGGAAGAGAACACCTTGTCAATCAACTGGAAGAGACACATACCCGTTTGAATGGCAATCCCAAAGCAAGGAGGCCCAACAGAAATGGGTGGAAATGATCAAACATGACCTGGGTAATGGCGATATTTAGTCTAGATTTTATGCCAGTTAAATGTGGACTTCAGTGGAGGTAGGGGTAGAGTCCAACTTGTCTATCAGGTGGTAGCCTGGTAATGCCCCCTCTCTACGAGTCAGTGAGAACCTCACTCTTGCCCTGTATCCATCCTGCTTGCTGGGGTTCTGGGTAAGAAGCTTCCATGGGAGGTGCCATGTGGCAGCCTGTCATGGTCCCACCAACCTTGGAGGCATTCTGCCTGTGATCTTCCTGCTTTCCACCTCCCCTTTCTGTTTCATCAGGCTGTAGTACGTGAGTCTACAGAGGGCTCGGATTAGCCTCTGATTCATGGTCTTGAACTGGATTGGGCTGGGATGCTTACTTGATATAAAATTAATTCTAGATATAAAGTTCTTCCATGTATATGTGTGTGTATATGAAAAGTGTAGAAAGGCCAAAATCTGACCTTGTGTGTGTGTTAAATCATCTCATCTCACTGCCAGTGAGTTAGTGCCACCTCCTAAGGACCCTGTAGGGCACAGGAGCACTGTCCCTTTGAGTTTCCCAGAGTACAGCTGTGTAAGGGGATAGAAAGTCCTTTCTTTCTCCCAGGGAGCTGCTGGTGGGTTTGAACTGCCAGTCTTGCAACTCAGCCTAAGATAATGAATGTAAAAGACTTCACAGAACATTGAAACATAGTAGTTACTCAAAGAAATGATCTACTATTATAATTATCAACATCACAACTCTTCCAGTAGAGATCAGTCTTTGCCTGCAAATGTATGTTTCCACATGCATGTATATGCACATACATATGTGTATGTCCATAGGACAGGCTAGAGGGGGCAGGGCACTGGGAGGTCTCCTGCCCTTAACCTGTGTCCTCCTCTGCTCTTGCCACAGCCCAGTTCAGGAGTCAAAGCCAGCCAGCACTAAGCCACTGGGTCCACCAACCAGCACTATCTGTATGCGTTCTTTCGTTCCTTGCATTGTTAGCTCAAGGACTCATACATTGTGAGCATGCAATAGACAGTATTTTTATTGACATGGTTCATAGTAACAAATTAAATATTTTAACTCAAAGGCTCATTATTAGCTCTCATTTACTTGCTTATTGCAATAAGTACTTTTACAAGCATGTGTATATCTGGTGTGAAAATTGTGTTTCTGTCTTAAAAACAAAATCAATTTGATGCTAGTTGAGAGAGGAATTTCTTGTTTTTGTTTCAGAGTTTACAATCAGATGCTAAGTATTCACACAATTGCTCCTGTTGAGGTACCTTTATACAGAAATCGTGGTCCGTGGGAGCGCTGTATTGCTTTCTGCCAGCAATCAGGGAAAAGATGTTGCTGTCTTCCAGGTCAGCCAATAACTGCAAGTGTCTGGGTTCCTGTACAAGCAGACAATGTTTCTTAGTACAGAGCACATGCTTTTCACACTGCCACCAAAAGAGGGCAGTATACACACATAAAACTATTTCCCCACCAACATTGTAACCCTAGAACAGAGCAAGGGCTAAGGAAAAACAAATTCAGCAAGCTCCCTTACCTCCAAAAGAACTCCCAATTTTCTGATGTAAGACTGTTAGAAATTATTTGACACATTTGCCAAATCAAAGCCCCACAACCAAATGTTCAAAGTAAAACCCAGGAGAAAATCCTTGATTTGACGATCACTTGGATCACACTGTCCAATGTAAGAATCTTATACCTTTGGCACACTAATGAATTCAGAGTCCAGTGTTGCCTTTATTTTAACATTGACAGCTTGTCATACCCTCCTCCTTCTGGACTTGCCCAGCCCCCTTGGGAAGGCAAACTGTCCCTGGTTTGGCCTGTGGGACAATGGCTCAGTACATGTGACAGGGGTATCAGGGCAGGGATGGGAGGAATAACAACAGATCGCATGCTTTTCTGCTCTTGCACCAGATCAAACCTCCTATGAACTGCTATAGCACTGCGACAGGGGAGAGGGCCTTAAACTTCTCCACCTTAAGGTTCAATCCATACCCCTCCTTCATTTTCTCTCTTCGCTAGTCAAGTGCAGAAAAGACCCAAGTTCTTTAAAGGTACCAGTTGGGCCAAGTTGGGCCCTCTAGGCTCCACCGCAGGGTTCACGTGAGTGCAAAGAAGTATAGGGGTAAAAGTGTGTGCAGCGAAAAGAAAGGAGAACCCTGGTAAATGGCAGGCCTCCCCCCACACCTGCTCTTCTGTGAGGCTCCAGCAGTTACCACCTCTCTGCTTCCCCCAGGGGATGAGTGGATTGCAATTTACTTCAGAGTAGTTATGGCTATATAATATGGTAATAAGGATTAGATTGGTGTTAGAGTGGCAATAATCTATCAAACATCCTTCTGGCTAGCTTAGATCCCAACCGTCTAATTACGGAAACAGTACCTCTGCTGCTATCAAATCCTTCCCCATCCCACTTTTAGTTTTCTACTGAAGATCCAGGTTACTACAATTTGAGGCTCTGTCCTTACCTACAGCTTGAGAAGGTGTAAGAATAACTAATCCCGAGGGGCTCCTGCCCCAATTCATGGGGACCCCAAGTACAACAGGATAAAGCACTCCCCACACCTGAGCCATTCCCCTAACATCCTATGGATGAAACTGCTGCGAATCAGTGTTTTCACAGGCTGTTTCAGAAGTAGATCTTGCGCTGCTTCTGAACTTGTCTTGGTTTCAAATCTCTGCTGAAGCCTTTCAGCATCACGGCCTCCAATGACAGACAGTGGTGCGCGGCCTGGGAAGTGAACTCACATCTCCCCTATAGACGGTGGGGATTCTATCACTGAACCTCCAGTACACACCCACTAGCCGGTTCTGAGTTTAGCCGTTAGACTACTGTTGGCGATACTGTCCCTGGGTGGCGCTGGAACAATCCGGAGGGCTGCAAAAGGAGTTACCTACTCACACTTTATCCAGGATGATGAGCCAGAGTATAAAAGTCTGTAATCGCCAAGGGGTGCTGAGTAACTTTTTTTTTTTCCTTCCCGGAAAAGGGGATGGTTGGCTAAACACATTTGAGAACCTTTGCATGACTCAATCAGTTTAGTAAGATAGACAGCCTTCAAGGAGTCCTACACTGCGATTTCAAAGGAAGCCCCATGCGCCGACCGGCCTAAGTCACGGAGCGGCCCAGTGCAGACGCAGGTGTGTTTGCGAATCACCTTCGAGGTCCCTTTTGTGGAGCAGTAGAGTCCGGATCTGCGCAAGCACACGTAGAGCTTCTTCCAAGACTTCCGCCCCAGCTCTTTCACATGTAAAAACCCCTGAATTTCAGGGCAACTGCTGGAGTTTAAAAAATTCTGTTAAAGAAGAAATTTTGAAAGTCAGAAATATTAATAAACATCATCAAAGTTGGCATGCTATCAACATGGCTGGCAGTGTCACATTTTCTGAGTTATTAAAATGATATTTTTGACTAAAAAAAATCAACTGACATTCTTCCTTAAAAAATTTAAAAGTTCTATCTGAATTCGTATTGTACACAGTATAAGTAGCATTTAAATATATGTATGCAAGTGGACTTTTCTAATATTGGTGAAAAATATGAAGTCCTCTATTTCCTTCTAAGCCAGATAGTGTTTGAGGATTCTGCTACTAAACCCTGGCCCCTCCCCCAGCTTGAGTTTTCTACTAAAGATCCAGGCTGCTCACTGGCAGGACAGGCGTGCCAGGAGCCTTTCATCAGGAGCACCGTGAACAGAGCATCTGACTGGCATTCTACCCATGTGCCCCTCCAACCCAAAGTGTGCAAGTGGTCCTAGCACCTCTCAATTACCTGTCTGTGTAGAACAGCCCACCATTCCAGGTAACTCCGCCCACAGGCTGTCTGGAATTTAGCAGGGGAGTGAAGGCTTTAAAAACAGATGCTCTAATTGTTTTCCTCTATAGGAAAGAGTACATGAGGTCTCGGTTACAGATTTGGGGCAGGGCAGGGGAGGCGGGCTGGTCCTTCGTGAGACAAGAAGACTCCCTCTCAGTTGGATGGGCAAAGCAGACAGCTCCTTCAAGCTGTGCGCCCAATCCCAGTACATCTGATCCCAAGAGATGGCCACATTCCCTCACAAAGTACACAAACCAACCTCAGGTCAAAGCAGTGAGGGACGAGTCAAGTCCTTCCTTTTGAGCATGCTCACTGAGGATAAGCTGAGTGTTGACCATTCCTGATAGAACAGGTGAATACAACGGAGCGAACGAAGGTGGGGATGGAGGAATGCTGGAGGGTCTACCACACAGAACACTCATCTTTTAGACCAGTGGTTCTCAACCTGTGGGTCGTGACCTCTTTGGGGGTCAAGCCACCCTTTCCCAGGGGTCGCCCGATTCATAACAGTAGCAAAATGACAGTGATGAAGTAGCAACAAAAATAATGTTATGGTTGGGGGGTCAGCACAACATGAGGAACTGTATGAAAGGGTCGCGGCATGAGGAAGGCTGAGAACCACTGTTTAGACAATGGAAACCGCCCGCACAGCCACCAAAGGCCGGAAAGGAGGGCAATGGGCAGAACTTTGAGGGAACGGAATCTTCACAGTTTCTCAGAGGTGTGAAGCAACCAGCATAGTGACGGTGGCCCTAGAGATCGATTTATTCTTTCACGCGACACACTGTAAACTGAGACACACTTTTAGAGGTTCAGAATCCATCCCGGTCCACTCCCCAGTCACGACTTCTGGGGAGGCGGGGGTCAGTGGGAAGTACAGAGAAGGGTGTGGGAAAGGCCAGGTTTGCTTGGATCAGTCTTTAGAAAGCAGAAATCCATGAAAACAGCTTCTTTATTTTCAGTGTGCAGAAAGTGACTTTTACGCGTACTTTAGGGAAACCAACCAGCGATCCATCCTGGTTCTAGGGTCAGCATGACTCTGAACTCTCATGAGCCACAGAACATGCTCACTTCTGGCCTCTTCCTCCTCTGTCCCCTAACTCTCCATCTGGATCCCCCAGCTCCTACTCTAGGATTATGTTACTTGTATTTCTTCTAAATTAAAGTGTATCCTGTTTATAAGTGCGTGTTTCAGTTTGAAATATTCTGACGGCACACAGATTTCCCAAGTAAACATTTATTTCTAGTTATTCTAAATTACTCTAGGATCAAAGGCTAAGGAAGAAGCCTCTTCAAATTTTCTGATGCTGCCACATGCCAGTTCCAGGAGGTCTACTGTCAATAAGCTCTATTTCAGCACAAGTCTATTTTTACCCAGTACCTGTAAAAGCTGGGTTTGGGGAATACTGCCATTCGACTGCTGACACCAAGTAACCATCTGTTCTGGGAAGAAATTCTAAGGAAATAGGGAAAAAAAAAAGGTTAAAGGTTAGCTTCAAAGTGGGAAAATTTAAAAGGACAACACTTTTATAATCCTCATACTACAGATCCAATGAAGCAAATTATCGATGAGTTTATTCCAATTGGTAGTAACCCTTCAGGACTCCATAAGGTTTCTGAAAATTCTGAAAATTTGTACAAGAGCAGAACTGCTCCATCTTTCTGCTGAGAAGCTAGCTGCTAGTGGATCAAACCACCTACCCTGCAGTTAGCAGCCTACCATTTAACCCAGCACGTCACTAGGGCTCCTTATATCACACAGTGTTGTTGTTGTAGCTAAGAGACGTCACACAGCGACCCCAGGTATAAAAGAAGGAAACACTGCCCAGTCCTGCAACATCCCCACAATTATGATGATGTTTGAGCCCATTGTTGCAGCCACTGTGTCAATCCATCTTGATGGCTTTCCGCGTTTTCACTGCCCATTTACCAAGCTTGATGTTCTTCTCCAGGGACCAGTCTCTACTGACAACATACCCACAGTACGTGAGATGGAGCCTCATCTTCCTTGCCTCCAGGGAGTATTTTATCCTGGCCCTCCTTCTTCTAAGACAGTTCACTGTGTTCTCTTGGCAGTCCGTGGTACTTTCCACATTCTTCTGGAACACCACAGTTCAAAGGCATCACTGTTTCTTTGGTCTTCTTCATTGGACGGGCCACTTTCACACGCATTCGAGGCGACTGAAAACACCTGGCTTGGCTCAGATGCAGCTTAGTCCTCAAAGTAACGTGCTTGCTTTTCGGCACTTTAAAGAGGTCTTGTGCCACTGCATGGGAAATCCCGAGACTGAAGGTGGATCCAAGGGAGGTGAAATCCTCAACAACCTCAATCTTTTCTCGGCGATCACGACGCTACCTATGGTTCCAGTTGTGAGGATTTTTGTTTTCTTTACACTTCTTTCCTAAAAGCTGAAATCCCTGATCTTCGTCAGCAAGTGATTTAAGTGCTCCTCAGGTTCAGCAAGCAAGCTGTGTCATCTACATATCAGGTTGTTAATGAGCTTTCTTCCAATCCTGCTGCTGCATTCTTTTCTGTACAATCCAGCTTCTCTGATGATTTGCTCATCTTACCAACTGAGTTAGTATGGTGAGGGGATACAGCCCTGAACACACAACCTTTCCTGATTTTAAGCCACAAATATTCCCTTGTTCTGTTTGCACAACTGCCTCTCGATCCATGTACAGGTAACCCCTAACCAGAATGAAGGGTTCTGGAATGGTTTGTTATGATCCACACAGTCAAACGAGGGCATAGTCAACGAAACACAAGTAAACATCTCTCTCTACTTTAAGTCAAGATTCATCTGACAGTGATATCCCTTGTTCCACATTCTCTTCAAAATCCAACCTGAATCTCTGGTAGTTGCCTGTCTATGTACTACTGAAATCGTTGTTGGATGATTTTAAGCCAAAAATCTTTACTTGTATGTGATATCAGTGATACTGTTTTATAGTTTGAGCATTCTGTTGGGTCACCTTTCTTTGGAATAGTTACAGATGGGGCTCTCTTCCAGTCAGTTGGCCAAGTAGCTGTCTCCCCAACTTCTTGGCATCAATGAGTACTTTCAGTGCTTCATCAGCTTGTTGAAACATTTCAAGTTGTGTTCTATAAATTCCTGGAGCCTTGGTTTTGGTTACGGCTTGATTTTTTTCCTTCATTATCATGCACAATCTTTTGAGACGGTGGAATGTTGACTAGTGCTTTCGGGTGCAGTGACTCTTTATCCCATCTTCTTCTGATGCTTCCTGCATCATTCAATATTTTGCCCCTAGAGTAATTTAATATTGCAACTTGCGGCATGAATTTTTTTTAGTTCATTCGGCTTAAAATAGGCAGAACATGCTCTTCCTTTTTGGTTTTCTAACTCTAAGGCTTTGCGCGTATCAGTCTAATAGTTGATTGTGTCTTCTCAAGCTGCCCTTGGAAATTTTCCATCGCGCTCGTTGACTTCATACTTCCTCTCATTTTTCTTAACTATCCCCTGATCAAGACCAAGTGTAAGACTCTCCTCTGGCCTCCATCTTGGTCTTTTCTTTCCTTCCTGTCTTTTCACTGACCCATTGCCGTCTTCACGTCTGACGTTCCTGATGTCCCCCCACCACGCCTCAGCTCTTCCATCACAGTGTTTAAAGCAGCACATCTGCTCTTGAACGTTGTTGAAATTGGAGTGGGATGGGCTCCGGGTCACATGGTGGCTCTCACGGACTTGTCTGAATTTTCTTCAGCTTCAACCTGAACTTACATTAAGCGCAATTGGTGGGCTATCCCACAGTTAGTCTTTGGCCTGGTTTAGCACCGATACTGAGCTTATCTACCAGTCTTCCCACAGACAGAGTCATTCTATTCCTGTGAATTCAGTCTGGAGAGGGCTGAGTGTGCCGTGCCTTTCTGTGCTGTAGAGAAAAGGTGCTTGCTGTGAACAGGCTGTTGGTCTTGCAAAATTCTATCATGCGCTCTCCAGTTTTGCTTCTCTCATCAAGACCATGATTTCCAATTACCGTTCCTTCTTTGTTTCCAACGTTGGCATTCTAATCACCAAGAACTATTAATGCGTATTTACTGAATTTCAGACTGAGGAGCTGGGTAGAATTTTTCAATTTAAAGAGTAGTGGTACTGACTGGCTTTCCTCGCATGGGAACAGACATGATCTCGTCACAGACAGCACGGCACTTCAAGACAGATCTTCAAGTGTCCTTTTTGATGATGATATGTCCTTGATTGTATCAGTTCAAGCACAGTAAATGATGTAATTTTCTGATGCTAAATGGCCGATACCAATCCACTTCAACGGACACCTAGAAT